TGCCCGGCGCATCCCTAGGTATAAACCCCCCGTGTACGTTGTAATGGCAGTGCCCGGAGTTGAGTTCGAGCTCGAGGGAATCAAGGCCGTCAGTGCGCCAGGTCGAGTCCGCGGCCGTGACGACGACAACGACGGAAGCTACACCAACTCCAGCAACGTCAGATCATGGCTTAGGGCGTGAATGATGGAAATAAGCCATGCTCAGGTTTGTGGTGACCGGCGAGTGTGCGCGTCCAAGCCAGGTCCGTGGTGAACCGGCGTGTGCGCTTAGGTGCAAGGTCTGTGGCGACCGGGCGTGTGCAGGTGTGTGCGTGAGTGCATGTTCGTTAGAGATAGTCACGGGATAGATGTAGACGCTGGCGATCCATGCGGGTTCCAGCCGCGCCCGGCGCGTAGGAGCGCGTCATGGGCGCATGCGGATCGTGGGGCGTGTACGTGCGCATCGTGGGTGCGTGAGCAGCGCGTATAAATTAAACTCTCCCCGCTGTGTACTCTTTGTAGTGTGCTAGTGTGTTGAGTTGGAGCCAGCCATGTAGACATTGTAAAGGAGAAGAAAGATTAGGGCGTGTGTGCGCCCACGTTGCGTTCAGTCGGCCGTGAAAATTTCTTGTATCTTGTGTCTTCTTCTACCTCCGTCCAAGCGTGAGAGGGAGAGGTAGGTAGGGTTGCCCTGTGTTGCAACAACAGCGCCGTCCCGTTCACCCTGTACTCATCACCCCCAACGCAACCGAGCTCGCCGCCGCGCGAGCTCGTGAACAGCTTGGCTCCAGTGACCAAATGGTGATGGGCCCGAGCGCATCGTCATCGCCGCATCACGTAGTGCCTCGCTAGCCGCTCCGCTTCTCCTGTTGTGTGTTGCTGCCACTGTTTTGTTCCCGCCCGATTCCGGCTGTCTCTTGCGAGCTCGTCGTCGTCACTGCAGGCCCGTTCCGGACGCGCCACCGCTACCAAACGGCGCACCGTCGAACGGCCGTTCGAACAGACCATGTCGCGCCCCTCCCCGTGCACTCTAGCCCGATCCCCGCCATCGCCCGAACACCACCTCCGCCCTGCTCGTCGCCGGCGGCCCTTCCGGCCTTTCCTCTGGCAAGCCACCGCCACCGTTCGACGTTGCGTGGTGCCCGCGTTCGAACGATCCCCTCCGCGAGCCAAATGGCTGCCGGAGGGCGAATCCCGCTCCACTCCGCCGCATTTGTGGACGCCAGAGCTCCCCCGTCGGCGCGCCACCGACAATGGGCCCCTGTTAGTTAAATAGATACTTAATTTAATTTTAAAACTCTCTTAGCCTCATTGTCAATGACAGGTGGGACCTAGCTGTCAGGTTTGACCTGAGTCAGCTGGGTTGACTGCTGAGGTCATGATGACGTTAGGCTGATGCAATAATTATATTTTTTGAATTATGTTAAATAATAATAATTTCAGAAAATCTTTAAAACTTTGGAAATATGCTAGAAAAAATCCAACAATTCCGAATATGCAATCCGTTCACATGTCATGGAACTATCCCCTCTCTTTCATCTATCTGGAAAATGCCACGCGCCAGGAAAACCCCTCCGGATGTTTTCCTTCTCCGTCTGCAATGTGTAGTACTGCGTTAGAACACCCCCAGCTCTATATATCGTCATGTCATGTTTAGTGATGCATCTATTTGCATTGTATTTACTGTTTCTTCCTCCTCTTTTCTTCGGTAGACCCCGAGATCGATGTTGCCCCTGTGATCGACTACGTCACCGATGACCCTTCTTCCTTTTCAGCAGAGCTTCCAGGCAAGCAAACCCCCTTGATCATCCGATATCGCCCATTTCCCTTCTATCTTATGCTTGCACTAGAACTACTACTGCTTTTGTATGATCCTATTCTGATGCATAGCCTGATTTTGTACCTTCTTATCCTAACCTGCTTAGTATAGGTTGGTTAGTGATCCACCAGTGACCCTCACCTTGTCCTAGTTGCCCCTGCTTAATTTATGTTCGATGACTCGATCGCCATATTTTCTTTTTTCAGATTAGAGCTTTCCCCTTCAAATATTTAGGTGTTCCTTTGCATTATAAAAAGTTGAAGGGGGAAGATCTCCAGCCTGTGATTGATAGGATCATTAAAAAAAACCTAGTTGGCTTGGTAGAGACCTTTCTTACAGGGGTAAGATCATATTTCTTACTACCTGCATTGCCAACATCCCTACTTGCCTCATGTCTATGATCAAGTTCCCCGAATGGGCCAATGGAGCTATTACCTCTCAAATGGCACACTTTGTTGGGGCAATATAGGTGATGATCACAAATATTATTTAGCTAATTGGGGGCTTGAGTCTAGGTTGAAAGATTTTGGTGGGCTTGGGGCATGCTTTCTTCTTGGAGCAAAAGATATTTTGATGTTCGCCCTAATGACTGGATACCTTGGTTAATTTTAAATATAATAGTGGCAATCCAAACCTGCTTAGGTCTAAGACTAGGCTTGGTTCTCCTTTTTGGAAAGGGGTGACTTGGGTATTATCTGCTGCTAAGGTTTTCTATCGATGGAAACTTGGGAATGGCCAAAAGATTGCCTTCAAGCATGACACCTGGTGCGGTGATTGTTCACTTAAGACTAGTTTTTGGGACTTTTTTCAATCTGCCAACAGCAAGATGCTACTTTTAGTATTTAGCCAAGTATGGGATTGGATTGAGCTGAAACTTACTTTTAGAATATGTGTGGATGAACACTTGTTTGCTAGATGGTTTGAACTGATTACTTGCATTAAAATAGTTGCTTTTACATCTGAGGATGATGCTCCTATTTGGTTACTTGAACCATCTAGTACTTATTTAG